CCTGGACGTCCACGGAGGACAACAGTGGTGGATGATCGGAGGATGGTAAAGAAAAACCCTTTCACAACATCCAGCCAAGAGAAGAACACTCTCTAGGAGGTAGCTGTGTCACTGTCAAAGTCTACAATCAAGAGAAGACTTCACGAGAGGAAATACAGAGGGTTCACCACAAGGTGCAAACAAGGCCAGATTAGACTTTGCCAAAATCTAAAAATCCAGACCACTTCTGGAAAAGCATTCTCTGGACAGCTGAAATTAAGATCAACCTGTACCAGAATGACGGGAAGAAAAAAGTATGGAGAAGGCTTGGAACAGCTCATGAACCAAAGCCTACACCATCATCTGTGAAACATGGTGGAGCAGGGTGATGGCAAGAGCATGCATGGCTTCCGGATCTTGACAAACCGGGTAGCGACAGGCAGCCGCTTCCAGTTTTAGTCATGGGTTGGCTACAATCCACCTTCATGGTCAGGTGAATTTTCATCAGAAAACCACTTCACTCAACAGCCTGGGCTGATGTGTGGAGCTCACACCATCAACGCCAATACTTTATGCTAGTGTTGTCATTGATATATTAGCATCTGCACTTCATGTTATGAAGCTATGAAGGTACGTATATATGTATATGTATGCAGTCAGGTCTATATATATTTGGACACGGGCACAATTTTTATTATTTTAGCTGCTGACCAAATCATATTCAAGTTACATTTATATAATTAATATGGGCTTAGATTTGCGCACTCTGAGCTTTAATTTGAGGGTATTCTCATCAAAATTGGAGGAAAGGTTAAGGAATTACAGATCTTTAATATGTACCTCCCCCCTTTTTCAAGGGACCATAAGTAATTGGACAATTGACTCAAAAGTTTTTCATGGACTGGCGTGGGCTATTCTTTCGTTATTTCTCAATTAAGCAGGTAAAAGGTCTGGAGTTGATTCTAAGTGTGCCATTTGCATTTGGAAGCTGTTGCTGTGAACCCACCTCATGCAGAGGGTTCACCACAAGGTGCAAACAAGGCCAGATTAGACTTTGGCAAAATCTAAAAATCCAGACCACTTCTGGAAAAGCATTCTCTGGACAGCTGAAATTAAGATCAACCTGTACCAGAATGACGGGAAGAAAAAAGTATGGAGAAGGCTTGGAACAGCTCATGAACCAAAGCCTACACCATCATCTGTGAAACATGGTGGAGCAGTGTGATGGCAAGAGCATGCATGGCTTCCAGTGGCACTGGGTTACTGGTGTTTATTGATGATGTGACAGAAGATAGAAGCAGCCGGAAGAATTCTGAAGTGTATAGGGATATAATGTCTGCCCAGATTCAATCAAATGGAGCAAAGTTGATTGGGTGGTGCTTCATAATACAAATGGACGATGACCCAAAACAAACAGCAAAAGCAACCCAGGTTTTGAACGTAAAAAAGTGGAATATTCTGCAATGGCCAAGTCAATCACCTGATCTCAACCCGATTGAGCATGCATTTCACTTGCTGAAGACAAAACTAAAGGCAAAAGACCCACAAACAAACAACAACTGAAGTCAGCTGCAGTAAAGGCCTGGAAAAGCATCAAAAAGGAGGAAACCCAGTCTCTGGTGATGTCCATGAATTCCAGACTTAAGGTAGTCATTGCCTGCAAAGGATTCTCAACAAAATATTAAAAATGAACATTTTGTTTATGATTATATTTATTTGTCCAATTTGAGCCCCTGAAAATGGGGGGAATGTGTATAAAAATGGTTGTAATTTCTTAGCATTTTATGTTAGATTTTTGTTCAACCCCTTGAATTAAAGCTTAAAGTCTGCACTTCAATTTCATCTTGATTGTTTTATTTTTAATTCTGTTCTGGTGGCATACAGAGCCAAAATTATGAAAATTGTGTCAGTGTCCAAATATGGACCTGACTGATTGTGTGTGTGTGTGTGTGTGTATATACTGTATTGTGTAAACTGTTTCTATTTTAATATACTTTAAAAATATAATTTATTCCTGTAAAACAAAGCTGAATTTTCAGCATCATTACTCCAGTACTGTCTGACACAGAAGAGAAGAAATTGTTGAATAAAGTCATTATTTTTGTTTTTTTTTGTGTACAAAAAGTATTCTCGTAGCTTTATAAAATTAACCCCTGATATCTCATGGACTATTTTATCGACGTCCTTCTGGGCCTTGAACGTGTCAGTTGTGTTGCTGTCTACGGAGGGTCAGAAAGCTCTCGGATTTCATCAGAAATATCTTCATTTGTGTTCCGAAGATGAAGTTGAAGTTCTTACGGGTTTGGAACGACATGAGGGCGAATAATTAATGACAGAATTTTTAGGTCACACTTTATTTTAAGGTCAAATTCTCGCTATTAACTAACCTTTAACTATGACTTTTGCCTCAATAAACTGCTAATTTGCTGCTTATTAATAGTTAGTATGTAGTTGTTAAATTTAGGTATTGGGTAGGATGTAGAATATGGTCATGACTCATGTACAATGTGTGCAGTAACACTTTAGAATAGGGAACACTTATTCACTATTAACTACGACTTTTCCATCAATAAATTCCTAATTTGCTGCTTATTAATAGTTAGTAAGGTAGGTGTTAAATTTAGGTATTGGGTAGGATTAGGGATGTAGAATAAGGTCATGTAGAATAAGGCATTGATATGTGCTTAATTAGTACTAATAAATGGCTAATATTCTAGTAATATGCATGGTAATAAGCAACTAGTTAATATTGAGAATTGGTTACTATACTAAACTGTTACCGAATTTTCATTTTTGAGTGATCTCTTTAAATGGTGATGGTAAAAACATGAATTGGAGTGAAGAGGAGGCCATTTTATTTTTATCTTTACAGTTCACTAAAAAGTCCATTCAGGAAAAACTTGATAGTACAGTCTGCAATAATAGGAGGATGCATAACATTAAAGCCATTGTGTAAACAGGTCACATGATGCCTTTGTCCAGTCAGTTACATTGATGCTTCACATATGCAAATAAGAACGTTAACCCAGGGTTTAGGAACTATGTTCAGTGTGAAATGCTAGCATTTAAACCCACAATTAATTGTTAAACTCAAGTAAAATATGAGCATTTTGAAAAGTGAAACCAAAAAAGTTCATTTTTAGAGTTATTTCCAGAGTTATTTTAAATGTGAAAATCCCAAAATCCAATTTTGATTAACTTTACGTTTTCACATCGCCTTCTATTTCATCTGTCAGTTTTAAGGTGCAAAGCACATTTTCATCATTCATATTTATGCTCATAATACATGCTTAATTCTTATCGCCCAAACCATCTGTGGCTTAAATGTGTGACCGCAAGGATTAACAAGAACAATGCTCGCTCATGTTACAAGATTTAAAAAAATTTTTTTTTAAAGAGTAGGTAGCTCAATGTCTCCGCCCACCTTTAAAGTATATTTATACAGTGTTTTGTAAGTGAGAGCTCACTGATTGTCTTCATGATGACCATCATCTCTCTTGACTGCTGCACATTGCTGGAACAGGTAAAGGTTTTGATTACTTTTAACTGAAACGTTAAGTTAACAAAATGAGCTGCAACAAAATGACTGCAGGGCAACTATACAGTATGTCATAAATGAGCATCATGACTCCATAAATCAATCTTTCCAATACGCTCTTTGAGCAGATATCCAGAGATTCTGACGGTTGTGGTTGGTACTCATGACTTAAGCAAGAGTAAAATTTTGGACCGCATCAGAGTGAAGCATTACTTCCCACATCCAAAATCCAGACCCAGACCTTATCAGAATGACATCATGCTTTTGATGGTAAGCAACTGTGCTCATACTACTTGTTCAAAACAATGTCTGGTCAGGACACAGAAAATACCAAGTGCTTCTTTGAGTCTGTTTCCTATTTATTGCTCATTGTACCAACAAAAAATGGCCAAAACAGCAGAAAATCTAAAAAAAAAAAAAACATAACTGGGAAATGTTTTGTTGTTATACAAAGCAGATAAAAATCAGACATGTAGGAAATATACTTTTTTAAGAGGCACATTAATTCATATAATTTAATTCACCTTAGCCTTTGGGGTTTCTGTTCTAACCTCAAGAACAGCGGTACAATCAACTGAAATTAGACTTATAAACGATTATGCTTATTAATCATGGTTGTGTTTTTGAATTACAGCTATATAAAAAGATAAATCTAAACAACCATGTTAAATGGATATCATTACCAAAGAAAGAAGAAGATGTTACAGCAAATCATTTCTGTAGTGTTACGGTCTGGGGAAGACTGCGGACTAATGGCCCACTGAGTACTCGTCTAAAGGAGGCAAACGTGTTTATAGAAAATCATGCAGAGTGTCACCATAGATGGGGAAATGAGTACATAGACTCACAGATGATCTGTGTCTATGGCAGTGGTGGATCCTGCGAAGTACGTACAAAAGATGATTCACAGACTTTATGGTAATGTATGAACTGGTTTCACTAATGACATGCTGATCTGTGTTTCCTCAGTATGATTCAGGAGGTCCTCTGGTTTGTGGAAACATTGCAGTTGGTATCACATCTTTTGGTGACATTTCTCACTGTAATTCACCTGTGAAACCTAATGTGTATACCAAGATTTCAGCTTTTCTTCCATGGATCCAGCAAACCATCAGAAATGTTAAGTGACTTCATGGGGGAAAAAAAAAAGGGAAGAAAATGTTTTCTTGAATTCTCCCATAAACCTTCTTTCAATAAAAGTATCACATGGCAAACATCAATCAGTCGTAGTATCCTCATTGTCACCACATATAACTATAATATTACATGGGACACACATCGAAAGTCATTTCCCATTAGTTCACTTGGTTGCCATCCATATACATACACATATGTGTATATGTATAATCTATCTATCTATCTATCTATCAATAAATAAAAGTTTAATAGAAGACTGTAAATACTGTAATTAGTTGACCTTACTTAAAAAAGCATGCACATCTTACAAAAACAACATACAACACTTCTTAGTTTCAACAAATTCATTTTAAGTTAGATATACTGGTTGTGTATTTCAAACAACTCATTTAAGTTGAGCTAACTAATGTAACATGGCAATTTCAGATTCTATGCTGCATTCATGTGAAGAACAATCTGATTTACTTGTTAAAATGCACACTGATTGCCTTAAAAAGACCAAGCGCCCTATTTTAACGATCTAAGTGCATGGTCTAAAGTGCAAGGCGCAGGTGCACTTAGGGCGTGTCCGAATCCACTTTTGCTAGTTTAACGACGGGAAAAACGGCCGGCGTGCCTGGTGCATGGTCTAAAAGGGTTGTCCCTATTCTCTTAATGAGTAATGGGTGTTGTTTGGGCATAATGTGCAATAAACCAATCAGAGTCTCATCTCCCATCCCCTTTAAGAGCCAGTTGTGTTTGCGCCATGGTGAATTCATTTACATACATGTACTGATACATGCAATGACTATCCATTATGACATGTAGGCATTTTTATATTTATGTAGCCTACACAATAATAATCTTTTACATTTTAATCCATCCATTTTTAATATTTGGCATGTTTGTGTGCTGCTGCGCGTCCCTGTGTGTGTGTAATAAGCAGAGTGTACGCACATTGTGGACCCGCCTATAGGCGCATATAACTAACGCGCTCTTTAAATAACTAAAAAATAAATAAATACTGCGCCATTGACTTTAGACCAGGTTTTAGTTGGTCAATGGCACAGTCTATTTCACTTGCCTCAAAATAGCAATGCGCCAGCAATATGCCTAAACACATCGTTTTCAGACCAGCACGCCCATGGGCGCACAAATGGGCGCAAATGCATTTGCTATTTAAACAACGTGGCGCAGGACGTGAAAATGATAACTGCGTCTGGCTGAAACTAGCAAAACAAACTCTTGCGTCGCGCCTGGCGCCGCATTGCACCAGTTGTATGATAGGGCCCCAAGTATGTGGTTCTCCATTAGAGTATGCGTTTCAATTATCCAGCTACCGATGGCACACAGGCATGTGGTAACATAACCAGAAAGACCACCAGTGCACCAACATCTGCAAATGTTGATTTTTAAATAAAGCAGTGTATAATCTTATCATTTCTAGACCAATCCTTGACCAAAGCCTCTACTCTTCAGCACAATGGTAAAACCCTCAAAATGCGGCGATAACAGAAATCCTTTTAAAACCAAACATAACAGAACATTAAAGATTAACAATGCACCCCCTAATTTAAGTTTAGGCAAAATAACTAAATTTCAGCATTCACTTCTAGAGAAGCAAAGCATACTGGGAATTAGAAACTATATTGACAGAATGGTACACATACAAATCACTTTATCTTAATTAGGGTTTTCTGAGCAACAAATGCATAGTATGCGAATAGTACAGATTACTATATTTTTACAATTAAAATCAACTAATTGTTTGTACATTAAGTAAAGTCAACTAAAAAGTGCGAGATACGAGCCAACCAAGTATAGCATGTCACTTCTCAGACATTTCAAGACGCGACAAATGGTTTGGTCGACGAAAACAATGGGTAACGCACTGATCAGACAAAACCCAACTGTTACTTTGGTTGGTGTCTTTTAATACAGTGTGAATTGACCTTCAGAGATCTAACCACAGGTAGCGTTAGCCAGTTTGACTAAGCTCTTAAATGATTTCTCACACCTAACATAATTTACAAGAAATATTATCAATTACATCATACATGGGGGAGAATAGTCTACTTCCATTAAGACCACAAACCTAACACCTCAGTGCAAAATGAAAGCCACATCGAGCTGTGATATAGGAAGTATGAGTGCTACTGGGGGGCTAAACCAGCCTACTTTGCATTAAATACCACCATCAACACCAGTGAGATCTTCAGCACTCCTGAGAAACCTTCCAAGTACAGCATCATGATCATCTCCGTGCTTTTGGTAGTCACCATGCTACCATATCTGAGCGTTCCAGGTAAGAAAATGATGGAAAAGAACTGACTTCTATTACATTATGTCTTCTACATTTATCATAAACATGGTATCTTAATGTTCATTTTATGCAATATTAGCACTATGCTCTGTAAGTTGATCTGAAAGAACATTAGGTCAAGTCTACTTCTCACTTAACCAGCCTAAACTAATTTTTCTCTCTCTTAGCATCTGTGCAAGTGGGTATAGTGAACGGCACAGAAGCCAAACCTCATTCAAGACCCTACATGGTTTCGATTCAAAGAAATAAAAAACACATATGTGGTGGCTTCCTTGTGTCTGAACAATTTGTCATGACAGCTGCGCACTGCTTCCAAAAGTAAGTTTTTTTTTTTGGTCAGTTACAATTTCACTGTGAGTCAAAGAGAGTCCCATACTGCTGCAAAAAGTCCTCACTTGGTGTGACTTCTTTGGAAATTATATAATAGTATAATAGTACCCAACCAAATGGGTCCACGACTCCTACAGTCTCAAAAATAAAGATTCTTTATTGGCATTGATGGGTGTATGAAGAACCTTTATCATCCATGGAACATTTCCATTGCACAAAGGGTTCTTCAGATTATTACAATGGTCTTCACACTATGAAAAATGGCTCTTTTAAGAAGTGTTAACTGAAAGGTTCTTTGGGGAACTAAAAATGGATCTTCAGTAGCATCACTTTTGGAATGTAGTGTAGGAAGGCCAACAAATATTGTTTTTACTTAAAGCAAAGTTTGTTTTCTTCTTCTTCATCTTGACAGCGGAGAGAAGCTGGCAGTTGTGGTTGGAGCTCATGATTACACTCATGGCTCTGGTCGCATGGGTGTGAAATTCTACCACATCCATCCTGGGTATGAGTCTAAAAGTCTGCTAAATGACATCATGCTACTTCAGGTAAATGACTCAGCTAGGTTTTGCAGAGCAAACTGCAATAAAGCAATAGTGTTTTAATTCTACGCTAAACAAAATTTTGAGGAAAAGAAAAGTGAATGTCCTACACTCCCTTAGGCCTTGTTCACATTGCACACAAATCTGATTTGGTTTCAAATCTGATATTAAGGACTGACTAGTGAGTTTTGCAAATCATTAAATACTTTAATTCATACATTGTTTCCCATACTAACAAAGTGATAAAAAGCTACCAGAAACCTGATTGTTCAGACTGAGACACACTGTCAGTGTGAATTTGAATTGGATTTCACACCACATTTTGATGTGACTTGGATTGGGAATGTGGAAACATTATTGGTTTTGTCTTTTGTTTGTTGTAATTACAAGATTTAAGATCAGATATGCCACAAAATAAGATTTTTGTATCAACAAAGCCTTAGAGATCTGATCCTATATGCTGTAAACCGAACAATATTTACAATATTTCATTACTATTAATAATTCTGTACTGTTTTCATGTTTCAATTGTTTTAAAGCATATATGTAACAATTGTAAAAATAGTAACATACTTAGTAATCCAATTATCCTTATAAGTAAACAAAATGTAAATGCAAAAAAGTTGGTCATCCAATTTGTATACATTTTTGAAAATGATCCGCATTAATGGTTTAATTACTTGCTGTAGCTATATGGAAAAGTCAAAAAGAGCAAGAACGTCAACTGGATCTCCATACCAAAGAAAGATAAGGACATCAAGGCCAAGGTCAAATGCAGTGTTGCAGGATGGGGGAAGAAAAACGACAGTGATACAGCAAGTGCTAAGCTTATGGAGGTGGACGTCACTATCATTGACAAAAAAAAATGTCAGAAGTACTGGGAAAAAGATTACTCCACCTCACGTATGGTGTGTGCAGGTGGTCGTGGAGGATTTTGCCAGGTACAAATCATATTCTGGACAAATCATAAATAGTGTGACAGTTCAATTTTATTCACGCCCTGCACTTTCATGACTTTTCTCAGGGGGATTCTGGAGGACCTTTGGTGTGCAATAATGTCGCAGTCGGTGTCGTTTCATTCTATGAGAAAAACAACTGTGACTCACCTAATCGACCGAATGTCTACACCAAGATTTCCAAATTTCTAAAATGGATAAATGCTATTCTTGAAGGTGTGAAGTAAGAACCTGATCAATAAACTTCAACAATGCGGTCTGCTCATGTGTGTGAATTTTTCGAGCTCATTTCATAATGAATTAATTGAATAAATCTTGATGTGACAAGCTCCAAAAGCTTTTCTGTGGAAAGATGGTGTCAACCGTTCTCAGCAGGCCTGGTTTCCTGTGGGGGCTGAGCTCATTGCATGTGGTCAGACACCCTGTGAGAAAATCTAGTTTGCAGACACATCTTAAAAAGAAATTTTGATGCAAAGTCATGAGACTCACCATAGAGTTAAAAATAAATCAAGTTGTGAGCTAACAGTCCTAAGTGAATATGCATAAAATATGAAGTCTGTAAAAACTAATTGAAAAAAAACGGTTTCCCAAAACATTGTTCTCATATGCTATTGGCCAGGCAGCTCTGCCCAAACTAACACCATTGATTGACTATGATTATGACTTATGACTATGACATATGACTATGACTATGATTGACTGTTGCTATGCTAGGCTGGTCAGGGTTTTCAAGCAAGTGAGCAATGTTTTTTACAAAAAGAACCACAGTGTTTGTACCTATCAAGAAAATCCACCTAAAAATCCACCATTTATAGAGTTTAATGGAAAATTCACCCAAAAATAAATGTCATCATTGACCCTCATGACTTTATTTTTCTGTGGAAATTGTCTATACGATGGACACTGTCAGTGGGGTCCAGTGTTGATTTTGGACTGCATTGACTTTCATTGTATGGAAGTTTTCAATATATCTTATTTTGTGTTCCACAGAAGAAATAAATACAGGTTTAGAATGGCATGAGGTTGAGTAAATGATGACAATTTTCATTTTTGGGTGAATTAACAGGAATCTTTGTTTTAACCTAATTTTCAGACGTTACATTTAATTAACAGAAGAAACATCCAGGAAATGCGGTGGTTTGCTGTGTAAAGGGAGGCTTGCCCTTTTACATCGAGTAGTTTAAAAGTCAGTGACACATTTTCAATGTTCCACAAGCACAATGACTGGCTTCACTGCGATTCTGTTCGCCACAGCAGTGACCACACTGCACATCACAGGTAGCTTCTTTCATTAGTAATTCTTAACCTTTACACATTGCACTTGTGCAATTAAAGGGACTATCGTTTGAGTTTATAGTCATTTCTGTCTTTTTCTCAATAGTTGTGGTTGGAGATGACAATCAATGGGAAAAAAAGCTTCAAAAAATTCCTTGCAAAACATGGTCTCAGTGCAGAACAATAAAAAAAAACATGAATGTGGAGGATTTCTGATATATCCTCAATATGTGCTCACAGCTGCACACAGTAAGTTGTTCATTTTTGGAGCCATATTCATTACTAAATTAAATATCTAAGCTCTAAATTAAATATCTAAGGACTGAGTAAATTATGATTGGTGATTGAACAATTCATGAAAATGTGAGTTTGACTCCCTCCACTTTATTACATTCCAGTGAAGAGATGGCTGTCGTTCTTGGCGATCATAATATTTCTCCACAGAAAAATCTAAAAAGATTGAATGTGGTTTGCAAATTTATACCAAAAACATTTTAAAACTTTAAGATGGGTAATGACATCATGCTTCTAAAGGTAAAGAAACACCTGTTGGGTTATGATGAAATTTTCACAAGAAGACGTGCACATTTAATAACTAAGTATTTGCATTATCAGATTTCCAGGAAAGCAGTTTTGGGAGGAAAGACGGTGAAAATCCCACATCAACATTACAGTGTTAAAAACAATACCCATAGCTTGGTTGCTGGATGGGGTTCCACTAAAAAGCATAAAGAAGTTAATGACCTTTTGGCCTTGAACGTATCAACTGTTGACATTCGCATGGAAGAAATACAAAGAAAGCATCACACAACTTCCACCAAACATCATCTGTGCTGGAGGATATAAACAGAACGGAGGAGTGTGCTCGGTAAGAAATATACAAGAGAGACTGGGGCAAGTTGTCACAATGTCTTAAGTGTATAAACTATAAGGTTTTGAGACAATTAGGAAAGATAACAAGTGTGACAACTAGCCACAACCTCATCTTCATATAAACACAAATGTATTGTAGTTTTGTTTTTTTTTTGGACTAGGGATGTTTCATTGCTCTTCTATTAAACCCCTTCTTCACATATTTTCTTGCAGGGTGATTCTGGAGGCCCGTTAGTGTGCAATTCAGTGGCAGTGGGCATTGTTTCCTTCAACATAGAGGGGTTTAAATATCCTGATGTACCGAATATCTACACCGATATTTTGAAAAATGCACGTTGGATCAAAGCAATGACGAAGAAAAAAGAAACTTAAGAGTTTTGTGTTCACAGCACTTGCAAATTATACTTAAATAAACAATACTGACCAAATAAAATTGTATTGCTCTGTATTTTCACAATGACCACTTCTGTGCATGCAGATTGTTGTTTATGAGAAAAATTGTCTCAAAATGTCCATGCTTTTGTGTACATAATGGGTTACAATAATAACGCATTTATACATGGACCTAGTAAATCAGGGATGGATAGTATATCTGATGCCTGTGACTGAATTTTTGGTTTGATATACACATTTGAAATGACATTTTCCATCAGAAGGGTACAAAATGAGTCTTTTTCTTCCAGCAAAAGGTCAGTAAAAGCAGGAGTTTAACATTCAAAATAGGTTGATTGTGAAAAAAATTTTTCCTAATTGATTTTTTGATGATACTAACATTTGGGAATCCAAATACAATTTAAAACTCACATTTTTGTGTTTTTATTTTCTAGCAAGAATATATACATATATGGGCCATTGTACAGAATTGGTCCAAAGTCAGAGTTGGAAACGTATTGGAAAAAATAAAAAATAAATAAAAAAGAATCAAGAAAACACCTTTAAAAACAACAATGGAGAAAAAAAAAAAAAATTCAATATTTTCATAAGTTGAAATATAGGGGTTAGGTTTGGGACAGCCGCCCACCTCCCAATTTCAAGTACCCAATAAATTATGATTTTATATATATTAAGCTTACTAATATTTTAAATATGATTGTGGGTTTCAATAGATAATAGAAGGATCTTAGTAAATGCTTTCTAAATGTGTTTTTTGGTTGTGGGACAGCAGTTTGGACCAATTCTGTAGAATGGCCCATACAGCAACAGGGTCATAGTAACAGCATGACTGTTGTAACCGAAAACTGTAAAGAAGGTCAAGACCACAAAGGGGCAGACCAAAAACTACCATATAAAGCAGTGATAAAGACATATGATGTGTTTAAAAGCAATGTTTCATTCTAGGTGATATTAAGCAAACATATCCAATAGTTTGGAACAAACAAAAAACAAACAAAGGATTTGTCCAAGTCCCTATTCATGAAAAGTGCCACATCCATTTGTGGTACATGTTCTGTGCTGTGAAAAATTCTTCTATAAAACTGAAAATAAGCCATGACAAAAAACAGGTTTGATCAAACCAAGAGAGGAATCACAGGATTCCATCATGAATAGAATCTAGAGCAATGCTGCCAAAGAAATTAAACTGCACTAGAAAGACATCAGTTTTACCAAGATATGCTGGAGAAGATCTTGTATTCAGGAACAGCAAGACGTATTTGCAGCAAAGTTGCAAATTCTGCATCTTGCGCCATCACTGACTGTCAGGATGTGTCTTGTGGTAGAGACCTATATAAATGACTGTGGTGGTCGCACCAGCAGCATCTCATCAAGATGAGTGCAGCACACGGCCTGTTGCTCTCAGTAACTTTGATGAGCTTGCTATTTACTGGTAAGCAAACTAATGCTTCACTGATTATAAAATGATAACTGAACTGTTTTCTGTTATCTCAAACATGCATCTTTGTTTGCTTAGGCACATTTGGAGCTGATATCATCAATGGCAAAAAAGCCAAGAAGAACTCCATGCTGTACATGGCATCAGTGCAGATTGATGGAAAACACAGATGTGGAGGATTCCTGATCCACCCGAGCTACGTGCTCACGGCCGCACACTGCGATAAAAGGTAAGCCTGTTGTTAACCTGGAATATGTTTGGTGTTCAACAAAACGCTTTAATAATATGCAATTATGTTATGAATAAAGTGGCAACATGACTGTGATCCTGGGCACCCACAACATCAGTCCAAAAGGAGCAAATCTGAAAAGATATACAGTGCAAAATAAACATAAGCGCCCATCCTTCAAAGACGCCAAAACTGGGAACGATATCATGCTCCTGAAGGTACAAAATTCATATTAATTTTTTTTTTTCATATTTAATATCATATTCATAATTAAATACTTACATTTTATTTTCAGTTTGATAATAATGCATACATTTACATTTTAATAATAAATTAAATAATTTGATTAAACATACCATTAATGGTAATCACAAAAATCACTTTTCTTATGTGAAATTGTAGCTGTCCAAGAAGCTGAATAATGGCAAAGGTGTGAAAACCATCAAAATCTCGAGTAAGGACAAACCACTGAAGCCAAAAACCAAGTGCAAGGTTGCAGGATGGGGTCAAACTGAACAGGAAAATATGGTGAACGTTCTTCTGGCGACAGACGTGTTGACTATCAACTCCTCCATCTGCCAGACAATGTGGAAAGAAGTGCGAGTGAAACTCCCCAACAATGTCCTGTGTGCTGGGGGTTTCGAGACCAAAAGTGGTGCTTGCCAGGTACGTCTAAATCAATATTTTGAAGAATGTTCATAATTTGTGAGTATATATTCTTTTGAGCTCAGTAAAAATGAGACTGTTAATTGATCTCAAACGCATTGTTATTTCAGGGTGATTCGGGTGGACCGCTGGTGTGCAGTGGGACAGCAGTGGGGATTGTTTCTTTCAACCTGTCACAAAACTGTGACTACCCAAATGTTCCCAATGTTTACACTGAAATTTCTAAATACAGAGCGTGGATCGAGGAAGTGATCAGAGGAGGTGCTTGATGCAATGAAAATGCATTTTACTCTCGTGCAGCCAAAGTCAGCTGTTATGGTGCCATGTGTATGCTAGCTGTCAAAGTTTGTCAATAACACTTAGAAAAGAAAAGAACAACAAAAACTCAATAAGCAATGACTTTGCATTTCTCCTTTCTAAAGCGCCACTTCAGAGAGAGCGAAACCAGCTTAGGGGGCTGTTTGATTCTCAACCACTGCTAAAGTTCACCACCATCACCACATCCGAAGTTACACAACTGTCTAGTTAAACAGAAATAGATGCAACACTGGGGGGGGGGGGGGGG